AGGGTCGGTCTTGGTGAGGTCAGAGCCAGCAGCTGGGTGTGCTCTGCCTTGCCAGCAGCCCTGCTTCCCTGCTGGAGCTGCTGCCTCTGGCTCCTCGGGGACCCAGAGAGGGTTTGGGTCCTGTCCCCGCAGAGGGAAGCCTGGCCCACCCCGGGGCCGTGGCTCAGGAACCTGCATCACTGCTGGCACTGGCCCTCACTCTCCAGCTGCCTGGTCGGGGTTTTCTTTTTTTTTTTGGTTTTTCTCCGGTACCGGGAACCGAACTCACGACCTTGCGCTTGCAAGGCAGGCGCTTTGCCGCTGAGCTAAATCCCCAGCCCTTGGTCGGGGTTTTCTGCCAGAGGAGTAAGGCAGCGTGGTGAGGACAAAGGCCCTGAGGTCACATTGCTGGGTGCCCAGCCTGACTCTGCTCTACCCTGGTGGCTGAGTCGGTGGGCAAATCACCCTTAGTTTTCTTATCTTTATGTAGATGAGGGGAAGACTGCACAACAGCTTCTCAGGTGAACACACCATAAAAGCTTGTAAATATTTGTTAGTATTATTAATGTCCACAGCAAAACAGTCTTTAAAGCAAACAACAATGTTTAATGAATAAGCAGACAAAAATATGAATAAGCTGGAAATTTTGGTGTTCATATTCTGGTCATATCTCATCCACTGGCTCCCTTTAAAATCAGCCCCACAGCTTTTCCAAATGAAAAGATGATCCTTCCCTACACTCTGCCACTGCCAGTCCTAGCATGAGGTGAATGCTTCACCTCAGTCTGGATCCCCTCCCCCTCTTCTTCCCTGCAAAATTCTATCCTTCAGGCCCCTCCCCCAATGCCACTTCCTTGTTTTCCCTTTGAGAAGTGCTAACCTGCTCCTCAGTCACCTATGTATCTTTGTGTCACCCTGTTCCAGGGTGCTGTCATCTGAAACAGAGGCATCCACAGCAACCAACTTCCGAAAAATGATATTCTGAGGTACTAGTTTGGGGTGGGAACTTAGATATGCATCTACTTTTGGGAATACGGCAGTGAGCAAAAAGCAATATGGCCTGTAATTAGTAGCACTTGACCTCCACGGGGCAGACAAAACTAGACATTAATTGGAGAAAGACACGCTTCAAATCAAGGCAGAAAGAATTAGCAAGATTGACAGAATGTTTAGCAGGCTGAACAGGCACGATTTGCTGGTGCATTGGCTACAGGGACTCTTTTTCTCATTATATATACATATAAAATATACATGTATTTCAACCCACAATAGGATCTTCTCAGTTCTTTCCATTTTCCAAGAAAAAACCAATTTTACATCTGAAGTGGCAAAGCTACAACTCTTAGATCTGCTTTGGTCTGCAGGTATATTGTCTGCTCTGCCATAACAGCCATACAGAGCCGTGAATCATTTTAAAAAATTAGTTTGTGAGCATTTCAAAGCTGGGAAACTTTACCTATAGGCTGGACTTTTGGTTCACAGGACAGACTAGCCATTGTGTATGGTGTCCCTCATTACCTGGGCTTAGCAGGGGCTTCCCCCAAGTGTCAGTGTCCCTCAGGCACCACAGGGACACCTGTCCCTGTTGTGGCCCCAGCCCTGGAGCTGGCCAGCTTTACTCACTTCCATCAGCTTCTCATTTTTGGGGACATCTGAGTCCCAAAATTTAAGCACCTCCAAATGTTAAGGAAACAAAATATTCAGCCGTGAAGGTGACAATGGTGAGATAAAACCCGGTTGGACCCCCTTTTCTTCTAGTGCACACTCTGAGCCTGCCTGGCCACTCTTCTCTGTGTGCTGCCTGGCGGAGACCTCCAGCGGTGAGTTCTCTACCTGCAACTTCCTTACCAGCAGCACTGGCTGACACAGCTGATTACTTCCTGCTCTTTGAGCTACTTCCTTCATTTGACTTCTGAGACACCATGTTCTCTGGATTCACATCCTCCCACCAGCCACTGCTGTTTCTTTTGTTGGTTTTCCCCTTCTCCTGTTCTCGTAAAGATTAGTGTGTTCACATGGTTCAGTCTTGATATATCCTCTCTGGTCTCTCCCTCTGGTCCTCTCTTACACAATCCCATCTAATCCTGTGACTTTGAAAACTGTCCACAAATTGATGCGTCTGAAGTATTCACCTCTGAACTCCAGACTCCTTGGTCTATATTCACTCACATGTACTGAGTCTCTGAAATGTCCCAGGTAGAAAACTAAACTCTTAGTTTCAACAGACAAGGCTTTTTCCTCTCAGTGTTCAACATTTCAATAAAATAGCAGATTTATCATTCCAATTGTTCAGGTGACAAAATTTCTTTCATTGGATTTTTACTTTCATACATTCTGTATATGAACACATCCTTTGTGATGGTTAATTTTATGTGTCAACTTCCCCAGGACATGGTGCCCAGTTGTTTGTCTAGATGTTGCTGTCCAGGCACTTAGGATGGAGCAAATCCATTGTGATATGAAAGTATCAGAAGTGAGCTGGTGATGTGGCTCAGTGGTGTAGCATTTGCCCAACATACACAAGGCTCTAAGCTTAAAGCCAAGAACCATTAAAGAAAAGAAAAGGAAGAAAACACCCTAAGTTGCAATGCATTTAATACACCTAATCTGCTGCACAACCCACTTTAACAACACAGTGTATCATAGTGTATTGGTTTTTAATCTCATGGTTCTATGGCTGACCTGGAGCCGTGGCTCACTGCCACTGCCTAGCGTGGAGAGTCACAATTTGACCTGTGGCTGCTTTCTCTGACCTCATCTTCATGTGCTTCCCTGTCTCACTGCCCTCCCTTAACATGCCAACCGAGTTCCTGCTGTAGGACGTTTGTTCCCACTGTTATCTCCGACTGGAAATTTCTTTACTTAAATAAATCAGCCTCAGCTACTTAGGAGCGGAACTGCATTAGTTCCTTGCATCTCAAGGGAAGCAGTGATTTCATCAGTAATGGACTATTTGCTTCAGACTCGCCAAAGTGTGTGCCTCAATCCATGGCTCATGCATGACATCCTCTATGACAGCTAGCTTGCGGGATCTTTCCAATGGCTGGCCTTACGTGTTTATAGTTTCTGACTGTCGCTGCCCCAATAGATGAGTGGTGTGCAGACATATCAAGGAGAAATGATGAGGCTGAGTATCTATTTGCATATGTGAGTTAGACCATGATTTCTCTTTGCATATATTTCTTAGTTTTGGGATGGTTCTAAGGGCACATGTACTTTCACCTGGGGCCCATGCTAATTCAATTTGCTTTGGTAAGGAAAGGCCATGGGACGCTATAAATAGATGCGCTCAGAGTAAATGTGACACTGTCACACCATGGTGAGTGAGACCAATCCCACTTCTATCCTTCCCAACTCAGACCTTTCCCCTGGGGCTTTCTACAAGCAGTCACCAGCTCCAGGGCCTTGGTAACAGACCACCCAGTCTTTCTATGTGTAGCTGTTAGTCATGGGAAGGAGCCGGTCTGTGAGAAGGGTGACATTCCTGGGCTGCAGAATCAACTAGACATCCTCAAGTGTTGAACCTGGCATTTATACATGTGTGCATGTGTGTGCATGCATGTGTGTGTGTATGTGTGTGTCCTTGAGCCTCATGTTCATAAGGTGGGGAGCAAGGGGTTGTGAACTTGACATTGATAAATGTTTGTGGGGGATCCCTGAACCTGACATTCATAAATGGAGGAGTAGGACAAGTTACACTTTCACCCATTTCCTCACCACAAAGAGATGTTATTGCCTACCCGATGGAGCCATTATGGGATTTACATAAAGTAATGTATAAGGAGTGCCTGATTTATGCTAAACACTCCAAGCCTACAGTTTGGGATCAGTCAGCATCAGAACTGTTTTTTTTTTGGTACTCAGAATCAGAAAAAAAAAAACCAAAAACTTTTTTTTTTTTTTTTTTTTTTTTTTGGTACTCAGAATCAAACTCAGGACCTTACACTTGCCAGGCAGGAGCTTGTGTCACTGAGCTATAAGATACACAGGAGACCCAGCCCTAAGGCTGCTCCAAAGTGAGCTGCAGACACTGCTGATTCTTCCGGTGAGTCTGACTCTGAGCCCATCCTTCTCACTGTCACCCAGTGCTCCCCCCAGAGTATAACCTGACCAGGCCCCTGCCTTTCTTAATGTTCTGTGAGACTGACCTGAGCTCTGCCTCCAGACAGCCTGCAACCCAAGCCCGTCAGCACCCTGCCTCCTCCTCCTCTGACCCTCACCTTGTGCCTGCGCTGCTCTCCACTGACCTTTACGCTGCGCCCGGAGGGAACGCTGAGTGAACAGGGATCCTTGAGCTTGGCTGTTAGATCGGACATGCCTCTGTGAATCGTAGTGATTTGGCTGTATTTTTTCCTATATCCTGTGAGTGATCTCATTGAAGATTTTCTGAAACTCAGCCACACTGTGTCAACTGCACTGTTTGCTTCATTGCCCATCTGAAACAGAAAAGAGGTTAGTCTTGTGGGACCAGTTTTCATACAAACCTGTAGCTGTAAATATATTTGGTCCTTCAGCCCCTCACCTGTACAGTATTGGGCTACATCAGGTGATTTCCTGGATTCCAAACCACCAAGGCCTTTGGGAGCCAGTAGTCGGGGGACTGTGTGCTCACCAGTGCTGAGGGATGCTGCACCCTTGCATGATAGCCGAGGGAGGTGTTTGCTAGGAAGGGATGGGTGGAGATGACTTTCCAAGTGCTGGCAGGGGAATCCACATCTGGGCCAAGTCAGTCAGGGAACAAGACCAGCAACCGTGATTTCTGGGATGCTCTCTGCCCTCCTCCTCTGCCCTGACAGCCCCCACAAAAACCAAACTATGTATCTCAAACCCAGAATGCAAGGAATGTGCCATAGCCTGACAGGCATAAAGCAGTCTGCAAAGCGGCAGGGAGGAGCTCTGCTCCCCAGGCTGGGGCCTGACAGTGCAGGACTATCAAGCCTGCAGGCTGGGCAGCCCCTCCCACTCTCCCTCTGCAGCCCGGATATCAAAGGCTGCATTGTGCATTGAGTGGCCTTGGTCCCTCGTGTGCCAGAGAGGAGGTGGGAGGAGGGACGCCGCTGGGAGCCTCCCCAAGCTCTTTTGGCCGCTGTTCCCAGGGGCCTTGGCCTGGGGAGGATGGTGCACACATGGGTGGCTGCTTCTGCATCCCTGGGGAGCGGAGTCTGTCCCGGGGCCCAGGTGAGTTTCCTGCAGGGCTCTGGCCTGTGGGTTGCCTAACCTGATTTGTTCAGTAAAGGCTCAGGGAGCTACTGGGCTGAGGAAGGGGCCCTTCCAAAGATGGGGAGATGGCTGTGCTTTATGATGGCCTCTCTTCCCACCCTAAGTTGGATGTGTTGTCCTGGTTTTATAAAAAGGGAGCACAGTCTGGCTGGGAGAGGTCTACCTCTGAAAAAAAAAGGCTTTGAGCTTGCTCTGCCAAGGGGGAGTGAGGCGGCCTTGGCTGCTGCTGCTAGGGTGTGACTAAGCCCTTCCTTCCTTTTCTCCCAAGATTCCCTAGAACAGGAAAAGGGTTTCAGCAGTGAGTTCCTCTGCAACCTATGGGTGGTCATAAATCTGGCCTTAGTCATTCAATTTTATTTTTGTCAGTGTTACAGCTGCTGAAGAAAAATAGCCAGTTTCCTGCCTCCTACCTTTTATAGTGGTTTTCGGCGTGTCAAGTTGAAGTCATGGGGAGTTGTTGCTCTGAGTCAAATCGTCTGAGACTGGATGCAGGGTGGCCAGCTATCCTGGTTTGCCTGGGACTGGGGGATTTCTTGGGAAGCAGTCAGCCTAAACAGTCTCAAGCAGATGAGGCTGACTGGCCACCCTGATCTAAACCCAATGCTTCTTTTCAGAGCAAAACCAAGATGGGGCCTTGTGGTCTCTTGTGGGACATTTATCAGAGTGAGTGGTGGCTTTGGGGGAATGCGGGAGTGGATTAGAGCAGGACTTATCTGGGAGATAGAGTAATCCTCCATGGAGTCACCTGACGTCCTTGTTGGGATCCTATGTCTTCCTGAGAGCCAGCTGAGGAGTACCCCATCCCCCCAAGGGCTTTTACTGTCTGGCAGATGGCTTTGCCCTGCAGTGTCTTGACCTGGGCTTGGAGAATGCACTTGCAGTCCTTACAGTGACCCTGGGGCAGGCCGGAAGTCTCAGCCTGGGCACCTAGGCACCCACACAAGGAGTGCCTCCCCATTCCTGGACCTAAACTATAAAGAAACAACCCCCAAGCAACAACTTTGGTACAAAATGTTATGAAAAATATCTTAGCTGCTTCTTCTCTCAGTTTCTGGGATTTACATGCTTTTCAGACCCTTCCTCTAAATCCTATTGTATTTGTACTTCCTGGGAGTACGCATAGCATGGAGCAGGGTGCAGGACCACTGGTCTGGAAGCCAAGGACTTGATTTCTGAATCCGACTCAGTCTACCTCTGGTGTCATCAAGGTTAATTGCCTGGTCCCTGGGGCCAAAATATCTGGGTTTGATCCTGGTCCTTTTACTTGCCTTGAGTCATTTACTTAACTTCTCTGTGCTTTTGTTTCCTCCTCTGTAGATTTTAAGAAATAATTATGCTTTCCTAATAGGATTGTGGTGAGGTTAAGTGTACATGTGAAACACTTGAAAAAGCCTGGCACACAGTTAATTAAGCAAAATGAATGTTAAGCCTTGTTTCTCTGTTTTTCTGACCCTCGCATGTCACATTCTTTCTCAGAGCTCCATTTGGTCTCTGTTAAACCTGGGGTTGTAAACTACCGGTGGGGCTGCTTTAGGGAACTCTGCTCCTGTCACCTGACCCTAGTGTGACAGAGCTGCATGCAGAACATAGTTCTGCAGTGCAAAGCAAAGGAACCAATATTGAAGATGATGTGGTCTAATTATTCTATTCTTTCACCTACTTTTTGCCATTGGCAATTGGTTGGCTGTCTGGAGCCACTTTTTCATAAAGAGTTGCCTACCGTTTATTTCTGTGGAGGCTTTTCATGTCATATCTCACGTGCGTCAGGTCCTTTTTCAAGGAAGCTGATAGAGATGTCAGGGTTCTGAGGCCACGTGAAATTGACTTCCCCATTCTGGCTCCTCCTGTGTATTCCAGAGAAATGGGACAAGTCTGAGTCACCTCTTGGAGTGATTTAATAGTTCTGTGATCTTGGGCAAGTCTCGTATATTCTGAGTCTCTGTTTTCATGGCTGTATAGTGGATGGGGTGACAGTCCCTGGCACGTGGAACTTTTGTGAGGATTAAATGAGATAATTCATCTCACAGACTTGGCACAGTAATTGAAGGCAGTTTTTGGGTAGTTGAAACAGACCACACCCACTTCCTTTCTTCCTTATTCATGACTCCATTGGAGAGAGAGCCTATGCCATCATGCTTCTTTGGCTGCTTCTGGCATTGTGTCTACTTCAGTGGGAGTTAAGAGTGAGGATCAAACTGACCATTCTCACTAGAGGGAGGCAGGACACCGGAAGGCTCACGGAAGCCTGGAGCCTGGGACAGCTGCCTGCCCAGCTTGCTGTGGTACGGCAGTGATGAAATGGCTCTACCCACCCAGGCGTGCTGCCTTCTCGCTTGTGGACTCTTCCTGTGGCATGTGTTCCTTGTGGTACTTCCCATTTGCTTGGAGAATCGCCCACTTGCACTTGGTGAGAGGGTGGGTTTTCAGTCAGTGGCACTCACCTCTGACTTCCCTTTGAGCTTCTTGCTATTGTTTGGTGAATGTCACTTCAGGTCACAAAGAAAGTGCTCTCAGAGTTCATTGGCCAAAAAGCTCCTAGAACTTCTATCTTCTCTTTAATACCTTCTTGAAGGCATTGGCAGAAATTCTTAAATAAAATATGTGGGAAAGATACATTTGTCTACATTGATCACTTGTGTTCCTAACTTTCTTTTCAACTGGTTTGATAAATATAGTCATTAGTATAATAAGAAATTAAGGAGAATCCTGATAGTAATGAGCAATGCATCACTTTTATATTTTAAAGATACCATGAAGCATTTTGAACATAGTGGTAATACAGAAAATTGGAATAATAAATCCACCACCTACTTTAACAGATTTCTGCTTTATATCATCTTGGCTTTAAGAATTTGTTTACTTCTTTGTCTTACTTTTTGGTGAAAAAACCATTACAGATACAATGAAGGTACCCTGGGTAGCTCATTCAAATCTCATTCCTCTTTTACCAAAGTTAATCACTTTCATGAATTCAGTAATTCTGTGCTCTTGTTATATATTCATGTGCTCATAATCATTGCAAGGAATTGTTTTACAGACTTTTAAACTTAAAGAAAAGGACACCTTTTTTACAGTTGGCTTTTTCATCTCAATATTATGATCTGAGATATATCCCTATGGATAGATTTAGCGATAGTTATGATTAGATATTTGCCCCAGAAAGAAGAATGTGGGTTTATACCATAAAAACTGCTGTGGTATGCTTGTTGAGTCAAAGAAGAAAAAGTCTGTAGGTGGAGAAAAAAAGCATGCAAGATAGTGTTCACTGTTTAGTTTTCTTCTTTAAGCGGGGTGTGGAGGTGGGTGAGTAGGAACAGAGAAGCCAAGAGAGAAGAAAAGGAAGCACATTTTCATTTCCAGCAAGTTACTCTGTGTGCGAGCTCTCCTGACCTTAGAATTCCTAGGTCAGGTAGTGTAGTGGAAATGTCAAGGTCTGTACCCAATGATCTGGATGAACCCTCATTCTGCTAACTTGCTGTGTGGCCTGGGTAAAATGAACACTCCTTTGTGGGCCTTAGTTTCTCAGCAGTAAAATTAGGAGTGGAACTGAATGATTTCTTAATCCCTCCCAATGTTCATTTTCTGTAATTATTATCTCCTTCCCTCCTTTCTCTTATACTCAATATCAAGAAAATTTCTTTTTCCTTATTTTATTTTTAAAATTTTTTGTTAGTACATGTTTGCAGTACATAGTGAATACATTGATTATGGGAAGGTGGCACATGACATAACAGATCTTAAGGATTTTGGGGGGTCCTCTATCCCTCCCATACCTCCCTGATTCTTCCATCTCTTGCCCCCCTTTTCCTTTTTATTTATATATTCTTATATATATATATATATATATATAAGAATATATATTCTTCTATTTATATATTCTTCTTTTCATATATGAGAAATCATGTGATATTGAAAGTTGTGTATCTGATTTATTTCACTTACTATTATGCAATAGTAAGGTGCATCCATTTACTTACAAACGCCTCAAGCTTATACCTGTCTCTGGCAGAGTAGTATTTTGTTGTGTGTGTCACACAGTATCATTTACTCTATCTCTCACTTCTCATTGCTAAGATCACAGTGCACATTATATACTTACACCCCTGGATTTCCATTGTAGCTGTTCGGTTGGCCTGTCACATGTATCCTGTTTCCCATCTTCCCCAGGCAAACCCAGAACACTCACTTTTACTGTGTCTTTCCTAGGCTCAAGAACAATTGCATCTTTTAATGAAAATTTACCACTCATATTAACATGTGCTTAGAATCACAGCATGGTGAATTCTCACAAGGTGAATAAAAGCATCCATATTGTTTTATGCAATTGTAAATAATTCATTCTCATTGAAGTACTTCTTTTAGTTACATGTAGCATCATTTTCTTATCCATTCTAGTGTAGATGGACATTTGGGTGATTTCCAGGGTTTGCTAGTGTTTGCCAAATATTTTGGTAGATGTTTTCTGATGAACATATGCGTGTTATTTTTGGAGTACATATGTAGGAGTAGAATTGTTGGGTTTTAATGTATGCACATTTTCAGCTTGAATTGATACTGTTGGTTTGCCGAAGAGAAAATTTTGAGTTTATTCTCACTCTTGCAGCATATAGGAGTTCCAGTTGCTCTGTATCCTTATAAACATTTGTTATTATCTATCTTTTATATTTTAAATTGTGACTGTGTGGTGATGGTTCATTGTGGTTTAAATTTTATTTTCCTGAATGGAGCAAATTTTATATATTTATTGGCTACTTGGATACTGTGTTTGATGAAATACATATTTAACTTTTAATCCTTTTTTCTAAGGGATTGCTTCTCTATTTCTTAAAAATTTTAGCATTCTTTATATGCTTTAGGTTCAAGTTCTTTAATGACTATACACATTGTTAATATTTTCTTGTACTTTGCCACTTACTTATTACTCTCTTAAATGCACCTTTTGATTAACAGAAGTACATAAGCTGAATGTGTTAGAATTTATTCATAATTTTTTGTAGGGTAACCCTTTTTCCATCATACTTAGGAAATCACTGGCAACTTCAAGTCATTCAAGTTGCTATTCAAATTCTCCAGGTTTCAAAGTAAACTCAAGCACCTGGGTTCCATAAAATATTCTGATTTTTAAATGATGTTAAGCATTTCAAACTAAGAATTTACAATGTGGAGAGGGAAAAAGCCAGATAAGTTTGCTATAGCCTCCGGTCCCTCCTAGGGAAGGGAGCAGGCAGCCACTCCAGGTCTGGGCCTGGGAGCTACAGCAGGAGCATCATCTGAGAACACATTAGAAAAGCAGAACATCAACATAACCATGAAGCAGAAGACAAACATGCAACTAACCACTCCACCCCACCCAAAATAAAAAAAACCTATGGCCACACTGCAAACTACAAAATCAGAATTTCTGCACATAAAGCCTAGGCTCTGGTATTTTTAAAAAGCAACTTTGGCAATTAAAATAGGCACTCAAGGTTCAGTACCACTAATTGAGGACAATCCTTCATTCTTAAATAAATAGGTAAATTTAAGAGCCTTCAAGAAACAGACAGGTGAAACGTCTTATCTAAGGTCGTTCGGTTACTGTATGGAAAGAGCTAATTTGTTCTCATTTTCATCTCTCGTGGTTCCTAAGCCAACGCTTTTTTGCTTCAGTTGCTTCTGGTTCCTGGAGGGCAGAATGACACAAAGATGCTGTTCCACCGAAGCTTGGTACTCCAGCTTTCCAGCTAAGCGGCTTAGCTCTCCTCACTGAACAGCTAACTACATTTACTGGACCAAGAGCCATGAGCAGATGGGTGCTTCCTTCTGCCTATTTAAGCAGACAGTTATTTCATTCTGCCTGTGTGCCACTCCCAAAAGTGCTAACTCTTCCTACTTGAACAGTGGGAGGCACCTCCATGCGGATGTCAAAATCCCCCTGCCTAGGCACAAGGGACACTAAGACTCTTGACAGCAGCATGAGGATTTGGGCTCAGTATTAACCAGCATGAGTGCAGCTGCTTCATTCGTGATGTGCTCCTGGGCTGTGTCACTACAGGCACAGGTCCATAAGACCTGATAGGGCTACTCACCTCTGACCATAGTTTTTTGAGAAACTGGGAGGATTTAATGCTTGAGCAGCTTCAAGGTCAAAAGGACAGATTCCAGCAACAGCGTTAGTGTGTTGAGAAGCTGTGCTCCCCTGTATTTTGGAGATAACATGAAGGAGGCCCACATTCTATAGCTATCCTCGTGAAAGCTCCGCATCCTTCTATATCCACTCCCTCATATTTTGGAGCCACACTCTTGTTTTCAATGTTCTGTCATCGAAGTTCCACTGCCCTCAATCCCCCCTCTAGCCTGTGTCTTGATCTTGTCCTTTTTACTCCACTTCTATTGCTGCAAAGACAGGCACTTTCTGGAGAGGTAGGGGTAGAGAAGAACAGTCTGGGGTCAATCACACATTTCAGGGCCATTACAACTATGCCCCAGGTGTCTCTCTAATGATGCCATTGTCCCAAATTCTTCTCTATTCCTCCTGTCACCCAGCCATTGAGCTTCAACCTTGGTGTAGTCGGATCCACAATGCCCTGTGTGGGCTCCAGCTCCAGGTGTGTTGAACACCTTTTGTATACTATGTCCTGGGACTCGGTTTGGTCTGTAGGTAGGAATCTACTTCTTTAATAAAATGGGGACACCAAGCTGTTGTACAGTTAAGATAGTATGTATGACAGCTCTTTGCTAATAGCTCTCTGTGTACCCGTTAGAAGGTAATGGTGATAACAGTGAGAATTTTTCCATCCTACCAGTCCTGGATGTTAATTGGCACTTGACAAACACTTTCAGTCCACGTTTCCAACTTGCTTAAACTCTTACAAATTGTTTTTCATCTCACCTTTTCCAGGTAAAGAAGGTTCTTTCAAGGGTGCCACCGCATCCAGTGAGTGTATATCCTCTTCTGAGTCTCGGGGAAAATGTTTCCTGCCACAGAACATGACACCAGGTATCTAAATCCTCAAAATAAGTACTACTTGAAAAAAACACACTTCTCTTAGAATATTTCAGTAACCTTCTCATGTCTTCTACATATTAAACTCACTCCTTTTCTTTACCTTTGCATGGAACCATCTGCCAAATGTATCTTTGTAGGCACAGCTTTAACTATACTTGCTTGCTTACAAATCTTTTATTATTCATTATCACCAGCAAGATCAATTTAAGCTTTCCCCGGCCGGTATTCAAAACTTTTCATAATCTGGCACATGTTAGGAATTCTATACATGTTTTGGGGGTTAGAGAAACCATATCATCACTAGATTTTAAGGTGGCTGGATTAATTTTTAAAATTATGTATTTAATTATGTACCTCAAAGAGTTGTTTATATTTAGTTAATGTTTGGGAAATGGTCTATAGGTACATGAATGGTTGGATGATAAGTGGTAGTCACATTTATATTCTATATAGGACCTGCACCCTACCTTCCTTGTAATGTTGCCATATAAATGAAAAATGATTGAAACGTTGAATATATAGGGTGAGATTGGCTGAGAAGAAAGGCACTGATATGAATTTTTCAAAAGCAGAAAAAGATTTGGAAGGCAGTGACAGAAAAATCTCATTTTCAGTAAGCGTCTCATGCCAGGTCTCCTTTAGGAGACTTCAGTGAAACCCACAACAGGAAAGTTGTCATTAGAGAAGGCCACAGCTGGGCTGAATTCTGTACCAGAAATTCTGAGGGCAAACCTGTAGCAGGTGTGGTTTCTGTTGTACAATGGCAGAGACCATTTCTGAGCACAAATCATGTGCCCGGTGTTCTCTGACATGTTCCTCCCATTCTCACATGCCATCTCTTGTGGAGGCACCAGTGCCACTGTTTTTTGTTTTTTTTTTTTTGGTTTTTCTCTGGTACCAGGAACCGAACTCACAACCTTGCACTTGCCAGGCAGGCGCTTTGCCACTGAGCTAAATCCCCAGCCCCACCAGTACCACTGTTAACAGTTGTGAAACAGACCCAGAGAGGGATACAACTTAACTGCCACATAGGTAATGTGTGATGAGCAAGGAAGGGGTTTGAACTTTGTTTGCAACCACCATGTACCATTAAAGACAGGCTTTTATCCTCCAAGAATATACTCTCTGGAATACAAAATACAGATTTGTGAAAAAGAGCCACATTTTGAATTTTTAAGTGATATAAGCCATGTAAACAGATATGGTATAATTGTCATGCTAGGTTCTTTCCAGTCCCAGTTTCAAATTCTGTCAAACTGCTTGGTTGATAATGAGAAAAATCTTACCCTTTGCTTTTTTGCTATTGTGTCAGTCTGCTTATCATCTGTCAGCTTGGAAAAAACCTGAATTACCATCTGTTGTTTCATGAATGCAGAAGAGTCAGCATTTTTGCCTTATTAGTGCATGAAAGCCAGTGAACAAGGGATATCTTTAGGTGAAGCTAAAGTGACTGCAGGTTGAACTTGTTCCTCTCTCAGCATTTTTTGCCATGAGGCTGATTCCAGGAAGGCCAGGGTACAAGAAGGGTAGACTTAGTACTAATCGCCAGCCTTTGCTTTGTGCAGAACAGTCAGAGATAGAATCATCTGGACACATGATCATGATTACAGGGCTGGCTTCGAGAAGATTAAAAAGATGACACACTAATCTGTACACTAAAACTCAGGAGAACTTCATTTCCTGCCTCCTCTGGCGATGAATAGGGTGGGTCTGTAAGATCCGAACTACACAGACAGAGGCTCTGCCCTGAGAGGCTCTGCCCAGTTTGCTTGTTTACGCCAGGTCTTTTGGATTTTGTATATGTGGATTCTCAGGCACGGCAATGAGAGTCACACCATCTGAGCTACCAGTCAGCAGAGACTACTCCAGGACAGATCTAAGAGGAGTTGGATCAGGATTTAGAAGGAAGGAAAAACTGAGTTTGGCAGAAAGAAATTACAGAGCGGTTATCATCAGGGTCATGATCAGCTGAGGACAGTCACAAGCAGTATGGAGGGCTAGAGTGGGATGGGGCAGGGAGCACCAGCCAATGCTTAATATGTTTACTGAACACTTAATGTGTACCACAAGCTGAATAAAAAGTTTACATGCATATATCACTGAGTAAGCCTTTGAGCCCCTGTAGGCTAGGCCCCTGCAAGCCGTTTTGCTATTAGGGAAAGTCAGGTGCAGAGAGGTGCTTAATTGTTCAGGATGCAACCGGTATTGAGGGGCAGAGCCATGGCGTCAGCTCAGGCCTGACTCCTCCCTGGGTTTTGTGCTCCTGGTGTGCCTCCTCCTGGAGGTCAGCATGCAGTAATGCTACCAGGGTGGGGCAGGGCAGGTTGCCAGAGATGGAGGAGGGCTGGATGTGTTGGAAACACAGGCCAGGGAGGAATGGAGCAGGAGAAATAGTCACGTGACATGCACATCAAAGTCCTGTCATTTGAGTGCGCTGCATAGGAGCTCATCAGCACCGTAGCACTTTTGGGACCTCGAGGTTAGAGACAGGGCCTCTGAAAGGCGAGAGTCCAGGTTGCCCCGTGGGCTCCAATAGGGCCTGTTTCCAACAAACTCAGGAATTGTGGAAGTCTTGGCCAGCTGGGGCTAGAAGAGACCTCTGGAAACCATCCCATCCAGGGTGTTCTCTGGTTGTTCTGTTGGATAATTGCTAACAAGATCACTACTAACTGTCTAAAGAAGACACATTTGAAAGGGCAATCCAGTCTAATGTAAACTCCACAGTGTGGCTTTTCCTGACACATTCTCTAAAGGCATCTGCCTTCCACAGCTGCTCCCTAACACTTTCTTGACTCTGTATTTCTTATTCATAGCACTTTCTCCTTCTGAGATGAGTGTGCTTGTGGAATTAGTTATTTGCCAAGTAGAATTCAAACTGCCTGAGAACAAAGTCGGTGTCCACCTTATTCCCTGCTGTAGCCTCAGCACCTAAAATAGTTTCTGAATTTGAGGCTGTCGAATGAATATTTATTAAATGAATGTGCATTCTGAAGAAATCAAAGGTAAAACTTTCACGTATTAGACATTTATCCTGGCAAACATCAATACCTGAAGCAACAGAAAGAACAGGTTAGTGTTCGATGCTCCTGTGTGCGGTCAGTGGCAGAATGTGTGCGGGGCACTGGGTTTATCCTGGCACGGTAAAAACAACAAAACAAAAGCATGTTAGAGAAAGTATGTTTGCGTATGTGTAATGAGTGAAATATACAATTTCTATCATGTACGAGGTATCTGAAATATAAATGGATTTTCTTAAGCATGGATAAAGTAGCGTTCATTCCAAACTTTCACGAATCGCCTGCTGGAAACAACATATATCCTCGTTGATCCTCGTCAGCACCAGCGCAGAAATAACCGATGCCAGTTAACTCCAGGCCTTCCTGAGCCTCACTGGGCTCCATCATCCCCCTCCCTGCTCCCAGGGAAGGACAATACAGGTGTGCATGGAGGCTCTTTCAGCCCAGTCTGGTCTGTAATTACTGAGGACAGCAGTTTTAGGATGTAGCTAGACGTGTGGGGAAACAGGGAGGGTTTTTCTAACGCGCTCTCCTCTTGCACTGCATGAGCATGCGCAGCCTGCTCCTTCTCCTTGCTCTCTCTCAGATCTGACGCTGTCTTTCTGCGTGAAGAGCCGCTCCCGGAGGTGCGTCAACGCAGCCCTGCAAGAAGCTGCGCGCAAGCGGCTCTGGGCGCTGGAGAACGAGGACCAGGGCGCACGCGCGCTGTTCAAGGTGAGCGGGCGGAAGCAGATACGCGCTCTGGGTGGAGCTTCTGTCCGCGCGCGACAGGATTCCCAGCACCTAGATCAGGATCCCCAACAGAGTAGGCCCTCAACAGAAAAAACATCCGGCAGGCCCACAAGTCTGACGTGGGGAAGGAAGGATTGCCTAGGCATCCTCTAGGTGCAGTCCGCTATTTAACAGGAAGGGGCAGAAACTGGGACAACCTGGAGCTGCTGAGTCAGAGAAAACTTGGTTTCAAATCTGCCACTGTTCCTTATATGAGCTTTGCCAGTTATTTAAGCTCTGTAGAATGAAACTCATTATAACACCTCATAACAGTACTTTGTTCTACTGTAGTAATTTTAAATTTTATTTTTATGTTACGATATACATAACAAAATTTTGCATTGTAATCATCTTTAAGTCTATAACTCACTTATATTTGGTACACTCACAGCCAATGATCTCCAGAACTGTTTTATCATCTTGAACTCGAGCTCTGTACCCATTAAACAGTAAAGCCCCACAATCCCCATTTTCCCCAGGCTTTGGTAACCACTAAGCATAGATTTTATTCCATTAAAATATATTTTTTTTGGTAGTACCTGGAGCTTCACGCATGCTAGGCAGACACTCTGTGCCCGAGCCACACCCTAGGCCCACGTTAATTCTTCTTACTGTTCCAAGGAAGGTTCTGTCTCAAGATCCACCCCTGCCCATTGAGTAGGGAGCTGCTGGGAGGACTGGGAGGTCCCAGCCAGAGTTACATCAGGGATTCTGTTCGTTTGGGTCTTACTTGAGCATGACAGTTAACCTCACTCCCTTTTAGATGTTTCAAAGGCCTCCAGAGCTTTCTCTGGAGGAAACCGATAGGTGACAAAGGGCTTTACATTCACAGGCTTGGACGCAAGCATCGACATCGCCATTGGCCACGAGCTGCAGTATGGAAACACACCCTTGGTGTCCACCTCCCAGGTGGCTGTGTGCACCAGGGGTACACTGGTTATCTCCCACCCTTGCCCTTGTGCACCATGGTCCACGCTGAGGAGTGGTGTAGATGCCCTCCTGGATGGTGCTCCCTGCCCCTGTGCACTTGATAAAGACTTCTGGCCCGCTCCCCAGCAGCCCTGGTACCTTGCTAGCGAGTTCCTAGGGGAGGGAGCTCTCCTTGAATAGCTAGAGAGCAAAATCAGCCCCAACTTCTTTGGCTTTGACAACTGAGAGGCAGACAGATCCATCACCTCTACTGTGCTGCATCCATTGCCTTGGTCACTAGCAAAGGGCCAGCCAGCCTGGCCACGCTCCTCACACAAAGACCTTGTACTCAAGGGAGACCCCACCTGGCCAGCATGCATGGATCCCCACGGACAACGGCTCCAGCAGGACCCCTTCTCAAAGGTGACACTGTCAGGAAGTTTGTAGCATAAGTTATTGTTGTGCTTGTAGAAGCAACAGAATTCCCATCACGGAGGGGAAGTGGCACAGAGGAAGATGGGGTGCCAGATTGCATCCACTGACCTTGCAGAATTCACCGTATCTCAGGGGGGCCCCAGCCTCTCTTGTGACATGATCGTCTGATTTTAGGTGCTTTACCAATGAGCCTACTTTCACCTTTGAATATTGAGCTGTGTGTGCGCGGGGATAAGGCTAAGGCCCAAAGTCAGCTTGACCTAAGAGATGGTCAGAGCTCTCCAGTTTACTTACCACAGGTCACACTGGGCAACTTACTTCATCTTTCTGTGTATGCATACATCTCTGTGTATGTATACATCTCTTGAATATAAAGTTGTAATCATGTCACTTTTCATTGTCATTGTTTTGTGAGCCTCCAAGAGAAAATAAATATTATGATTTAGGTATGATGCCTGCTTTTTTATTGTTTAGTTTAGAAGTGATTAAAGGTTACAAAAGCATATCTAGAATGCGTTAACTACTGTAATTGCACTCTCTTCATAGGATTATTGTGGGAGTTAAATGAGATATTTCTGATAAAACTCTTAGCAAAGTGACTGGAATGTAGTAAATTCTCTGTATAAAATTCTTACCTAGCAACCCTGCCCTCATTGTAGGACCTGTATCATCCAAAGATTTGAGGTTTCCTAGGGTCTGGTATGGAGGAAACTCAGATTTGAGTTTGCTGAACCAGGGGCTCTTGTTTTGTATCTTTCTATCCCTCCCTTCTCCTCCTCAGGTTCCCTAAGGACAGGGGTCTAAAATCTGGTTTTGACTGCAGAATCTGGTCTTAGGGGAGATGTTCTCACCATCACCATTCGACCAACCAACTCTAGAGCCTTGGTCAAGAACAGAGAAAGATTTAGGGAAAATCAAGACTGGACAGTGATTCAGGCCTATTTTTTCAGGTATTAAAAAAATAACAGATCCAAGTGTCTGTAAATGACAGACCTGTGGACCTCTTGCTTTGCTTGTGAGCATGTAAACTGGAACAAATTTTCTGGTCTGGAGGGCAGGTGGATGCTTGTATTTTGGGGCAGAAAGTGTATATATCTTTGCATTCCCAATTGCATTTCTTGCAACTACTTATGTCAAAATAATCAAGGAGATGCACAAAGATTTAACTACAAGGATGTTTATCCCAATACAATTTAGGACATCAAAAAATGTAAAATGATCCAAAAGTGAAACCACAAGAAAATGATAGGAATTCATTATGTTAATGCATTAGTGGCAAATAAGTATTAAACATAATGTAGACCACATAATGACATAGGAGGTGGTTCACAGTATTTAGTTTAACAAAATAAGAAGATTGAAAAAAATTTATGTACTTTGATTCTATTTCTACAAAATAGTTAAATGGAAGCTCATGCAAAGAAATATTCAAAGTTAATATATGAAGACATTGACACTGATGATCTCTAGGAGGAAAGATTATGGATGATTTTGCTTTGTTTTTCTTCTGTGTCTGCTTCATAAAAATAATCAGTAGACGTAGATTCACAGTCAGATTTGCTTACAAGTTTTCTGCTATGATTCACCCTCTACTCTTCTATGTACATTTTTTAAAAGCATAAAATGTAACATCCTTTGCATAAAGTTTTATACTCTGGTCTCTATTTCTTACTCATTACAGTGTTGATTTGAAACCTCTGCCAAGATACGAAGAACCCCTTTATTCTTTTTAATACTTTGTAATGTCACGATGTTTCAGTGCATAAAAGCATACTTTATTTTAACTAGGTTCTTATTGATTAATATTTAGGTTGTGTCTGTTAGATTTTTATTTTTAATTTTGTGGTGTAAGATCAACGTCACAGCCAAGAAGTTCATCTAATGTGCTAGGTCCTTAGGCGAGGTGAGCTTGTTAACAAGACACTGTCGTTCTGGGCTGATTCCTGCTCTCTGTATTCAGGATCTCTCTGCAAGGCTGGTGAATATCCAGTCCCAAAGGGCCCAGTTCCTGATCACCTTCAAGACCATGGAGGAAATCTGGAAGTTCTCCACCTACTTGGACTTAGGTATGAGGGATGGGGCATGCAGGTGCAGGAGGACTCACCTTACAGTTCAACCAGTTTGTAGAGGTTGATATTAAAGAATTGGCCAAATCCTGATAATTAAAAGAGGTAGAGCTCTAAAGTGGAGAGTTAACTTTTGAAATATCACAAACTGCCTGAAACTAAATCTAAAGCAAATATTAACTATTACTGTAAAAAGTCATGTGGAAAATTAGCTTTCTTTTGTCTGGGGAGAGATTTATTTATTTATTGACTAAGCAGTCAGTTGGCAAACAGAAAGGCAGGGGCTCATCTACTAAAGTGGTCTGAAGGCAGCAGAACCTTCTGAAAGGTATCGAAGGGTGTCCAGGTGTAGTGGAAGCACCACTGTGGTGGGACACGGTTCACCAAGGAGCAAAACTCACAATAGGGAACTGATGGCTTCAAAGCCAGCAGAAGCCAAACCAAGGAAAACTGATGAACATCTGATGTGTCCCAGAAAATTCTGGGTTCCATGCAGATGTCCATAGGAAGAAATACTGGACAAGGCTGGAGGGACAAGGCCAGAGGTAGGTGATTTTCTGCTCTCCCCATTGTACATCTTCTGTGGACTTTAAAGATCCTTTGTATTCAGATCGCGCCCGATGGAGGAGCTGTATCAGCATCACTTGTGACCTGTTAGGAAAGCAGAATCTCAGGGTCCATTCTAGACCTACCAAATCAGCACCTATGTTTCAATAAGATCTCCAGGTGTGTGCTTGTAAGTTCAAGAAGCACAATGATAGAAGCACCCAGGCCTAAATCAGTATGACGGGCACTCAGAAGGGAAAGAGACAGGCTTTTGTATTGTAAGAAAGAGTGGAAAACTCAAGAGAAGAAAAATTTTAATACAAATAATTCATGTTTCAAGGCATGTTGAGGTACTATATATAATTATTTAAATTTTATTATTTTCATGTTTTTAAAAAGGCTTTTAATGAGGCAGAGCTTACTGAGCACTCACTGGACAAAGCTCAGGGTCGGAGCAGGTAAACTGAAGTGAATCCTAAATCTCATGACTGTGGAGAATCCCTTTAGTCATTCCATTGTTTGGGGTATAGGAATTCAAGAGAGCTTCAAAGGGAGACCGGGAAGCCCTAGAGAAACATCTTAAACTTAGAGGCTTCCAGGGCTTAAAGAAAAGAAAATTAGGTTTGGTCAGCTCATTATGAACTTATAGAGATGCACAAGATGCTAAAAATGGTAAATGTCATTTAAGCATAACTTGTATTTTCCAACAGATGCTGAAAATGTATCTGTGGTCCTCTAAGGTCAGAGCCTTCTATGGTCCACTGAGGGTAGAGCCTATTTTGTTCAGGAATCTTATTGGTTTAACTTCTAGGCTATGTGTCCACATGTCTGGAGTACCTCCTCTTTGACCACAAGTATTGGCTTAACTGCAGATTGGTGGAGGACACAGAGATCCAAGTGTCTGTAGATGACAAACATCTGGAAGCCATGTATCTGAGTCTCCTAATACAGGAAGGTGAGGATGGCTAGCGGTGGGCACGAGGACTCATCTGCATATTTATCAGAATACCTGAAATGATTAAGATACAAAGGGAGGCAAAAATCATGTAAACAAGAAACAACAGTCACAAATGAGCATGCCTGTTATTTACAACAGTACTTGAAACGTCTCAGTTCAACACTGACACCACATGAACAGCTATATTGGCTTATAGCTCATTGACATTAGAGCTGCTTGGGGAGTTTTAAAAAAGATGTCCATGGTGGGGATTCATGTAGGCCAGTTAAGTTCCTAGAGGTGGGGGCATTTCCATCATTTTAAAAGTTTTCTACATAATTCTAATGATATCTAAGATTGAGAAATACATATATAAGCATGGGATATAATTTGATTATAAAATAAGATTGCAAATCTTACAAAACCTGAAGTATTTCCTGAGAGTAAAGTGACATTGGTATACCCCCGATCTGTTTACAAGTGACGATGCCCTCAGACTGGCAGATGGTCAGGTCTGATGCCTAACAGACACATTAGATCTATATAAGATATTTTCACAAAAATGATTCTTTTTATGACTGCTTTGCATGAATCATATATGAAGGAAGGAGTTTCATGTTGTGCTGTATAAAACTTACAGTAATTACATTTGCCCAGATCAACTGAAGTTATTCTTCATTGGTCCTAGGATTAAGTGTGAGGTTGCAGTTATAACTGAAGTTCTGTTAAATGCAAACGTATTTTCCTAAGTTTTTATTTCATCTCTTCTTCAGGGTAAAGGTCCAAGTATGCCTTTTTCTCACAAATTGCTCAGAAATGTTGGTGTTTATTTTAAGCGAGTTCCCTCTCTGTGGCTTTTTTTCCTGCCAGTTTTCCTGGGTTCACAAAGACTTCTTGAAGTGCCTTCTCCAGGACAGTCTGCTTTATTCCTAGCAGTAAACGTATTTGGACTCCAGATAGAAGCATTATCCTGTGTGATCATCCCTTTCACTTCCTGCTACACCTCGGAAAGGGCTTTTCTCATTATCTACAGGTCACTTCTTCTGCAGAGCCACGTGCTCCGTGGCTCAGCCAGCCGAGAAGGAAGGGGAGTGTTTGGGACTTTGCAAGAACGAGTTAATCTCCGTGAACGTCTCCGAAGGGGAATCTGAGTGGGAAGGCGTGTCTTTAGTGACTGGCCAGCGGGGTTTGGTTCCGGTGGCAGCCCTGGAGCCCCTGCCCGTCCCTTTCCATCAGTGAGTAGCCGCCAACTTCTTGGCAGAGGGACATAGAGTGGAATGGGGTCTGCGTAGAACAAAGTGGGCGTGCTGTCACAAACTCACCTCCATCCTGGTGGGAAGAGAACAAAATGCCGGTGCTCTTTTATCTTTTTTTTTTTAATAGCCAAGATTTTGTTCAATTAACTCGGAGCTAATTCAAAATTTCAGATGGATATTGTACCTAGCAGAAATTCACCATGTGGATGCCAGTGTAGTGTTCCTTAGGATAGAGACCTGAAATTAGTATCACCTAGGATTTTACCCAAAATCCAAATCCTCTTGCCTTTCTCAGATACTCTTGGGG